TTAACACATCTAAGACCAAGATAGTGGTATTTCGTCGTAGGGGTGGGCTAAAATGTAATGAGCGCTGGCATTTCAATAATCAATGGTAGGATACTACGTCATCGCGCACCTGCTAAATGCTCCCACTTGGACCATTTTTTCGTCGACTCGAAAGTAAAATACAATTTATTATAAGAAAACGTAAGAGTATTAAAAATCATGTAGCACATCAAAGAATGGCTAAAGTACTTGAGGTAATTGTAAAAAAAGTTTATAGATTTATTTCCTTGTTTAGGCCTGAAAACGGGATAAGTGTTTTTCTCTGAATGCTCCCACTCGGACCTCTCCCGAAACATATATGAAATAAGGTTGAAAACCTTCTTGAAATTATTTTAAAAGTATCGGAATATAAACCGAGTCATGTTTACACATTTTTCTATATTAGTTTCAAATATTTCTATTCAAAAGTCAGTTTTTTAAAGTGTTTTTTATAAAAATGGAAAATGCTCCCACTCGGACTCGATTTCAGAGATGCTCCCACACGGACCCAAATACATACATTTTGAAAGCATATTGCTGTGTTAAGCCTTTATGGATTATTCTCACAATTTTAACACCATTTAGTCAATAACAACTGTGTTTGGCAACATTCACTTTTCCTTCTTTTTAAAGATCTGTAGAATGACATCGTTGGGCAGGAACACAGTGACATGGCAAAGTTTCAACTGACAGGATCATTATACAAAAAGGTGCACTTGGCTTGTGTTGGAGCCGAAGGGATAATTCAAAATGATTGCCAACAACAAAGCTAGGATTATAAGACTTTAAATGGAGAGTTTGGATCTCAAGAATAAAGTTTTGTTTAGATGTTAAAAAATGGTGGTGTTTTATAAAGAAGTCATTATACATTGTTTAGTACCTTACTTGATTAAGATTCTGTTGGACAAGTGCACATACATGTATTGGAGGCCAGCATTTATTCAATAATTGCTGACTTTAATATCTTGTTAAGAATTTAAAACCTAATGGTTCGCGTGTTTGTTAAACTTGTGATTTAGGTTTAAAAACATCATAATGATACGTTTATGAACATAAAGAAGTCAATATCTATCGGTTGATTTGAATAGTTTTTCAAAGAACAACATGTAAATCATTTTTGTCATGAACTGGTTAAAAAGTCAATGTACTGCCATACTATGGTAAGAAAGCATGCGTCACAATTATTGACAACTTTGACAATTTTAAGTATGAAAGTTATCATGTGTACGTATTTTTACCTAAATAACGAAATTAAATAAATAAGAAAACAAAGATCATAGTTATTTCTTTATCACAGTCTTTACCATATCTTTGTAATTAAAGATCAAGAAAGTTATATTTCAAGTTGTTACCAATTGAAATTGTATATATATATATAATATATATATATATATATATATATATATATATATATATATATATATATATATATATATGTATATATATATATATGTATATATAATATATATATATATGGTACTAAAACAATTTTTAAACATAAAGGAATATGTTAAATACGTACTGCAAATGCTTGTCCACATTATATGTAATCATAAAAATATACATATATGCATAATGCATTCATTTCTTTTTGAAGAATTCAACTTACACTTAATAGAAAATATATATCTAATTACCTCCCTTTATGAAATGTAAATTCGGTATTGTCTTTACAAATAATGCTTTTTGTGACATACAATATTGAAAAATCTTCATTTCAGCTTTATGTTAACTTTATGATATAAAACCATAAAAATGATTTCGGGATATTTAAATGACGTTAAAATAATAACAATAATACAAGAAAATCAAAGACAGCAAAAATCCGCCGAAAAGGAGGAAGTACATTTCATAGGGGAAGTAACCCTTACATACATGTAAAAATTCCAAGTAATGGCAATTGTGAAAATTAATGAACAGTTATAGCCTAGACATAAAAATCATGACAAAAATAACACTCCAATGAAAAAAACAAAGAAAAAAAAACAACAAAGAAGCATTAAGTGAACACTTTTGGTCCTTATGCTCTGCTATTCACTTCCATTAAACATGTTCAATATAAAGTTTAAAGTTTATATCTCAAATACCTTAAGAGGTATGGTCCTTGCAAACTAATGATAGTGAATACAAAGAGCAATAACTCTCAAACTGGATAGTTGTCATTCTGCTTGCGGTATTTTACTTTATTGAAATTTATCCTCCAGTGACGTTTCAGATGAATTGATCCTTTATGACACATTGTCCAAATATTAACGCAAAAAAAACTGTAAAAAAAACTATTACTTCAAAGAACTATTATTCTGGTGTTTTCTAGAGTATTCCTCCTCACTGAGATATATCCACAGTTGGTATCTAAAATATATGCGCCAAGATGTCCTGCCATGTGCTTCCTAACGTCGCAAGGTTTACCTTTTCCCATACTGGTCACAAACACAAATACTTTCTTCAAAACAAAACGTCATTTTATTATTGAATGTATAATCAATTTGTTTCTTATTTAAGCGACTCTTTTAAACGAGGAATTGTTTCAACACAACCTTTTTTTATTTATTTTCAGGCCGATAACTAATCCTCTAAGAAGACATATTTACGAGACTGTTTAGTGATTTTAATATTAGTATTGTATTTTAAAAATGCTGATTCATTGAATTCTCACTAATTATATGAATATATGAACGTGAATATAAAGATATTTTGAAATAATAATAATATCTTAACACAACAATGTGCTTTCAAAATTTGTATATATTTAGGTCCGAGTGGGAGCATCTCTGAAGTTGAGTCCGAGTGGGAGGATTTTCCATTTTTATAAAAAGAATTAAGAAAAACTGACATTTGAATAGAAATATTTGAAACTAATATAGAATAATAGGTATACATGACTCGGTTTATGTTCCGGTACGTAAAAAAATAATTTTTAAGAAGGTTTTCAACCTTATTTCATATATGTTTCGGGAGAAGTCCGTGTGGGAGCATTCAGAGAAAAACATTTATCCCGTTTTCAGGCATAAACCAGGCAATAAATCTATAAACTTTTTTTACAATTATCTCAAGTACTATGGTCATTCTTTGGTGCGCTACATGATTTTTTAATACTCTTACGTTTTCTTATAATAAAATTGTATTTTACCTTTGAGTCGACGAAAAAATGGTCCAAGTGGGAGCATTTAGCAGGTGCGCGATGACGTAGTATCCTACCATTGATAATGTGCCTCTAGAAATAGTTAATGACTTCAACTACCTAGGTGTGGTGTTTAATTATACCGGCTCATTCGTATTAAATAACCAGTACATAGTCGGAAAGGCCTTAAAAGCCTCAAATATACTGCTTAATAATATAAAACAATATGAACTTATCCCTTCGATATCGCTTCAATTGTTTGATGCTTTTGTGGGATTTATCTTAAACTATGCCTGCCCGGTTTGGGGCTTCACTAAGTCCAAAGAGTTAGAACGTGTACATCTCAAATACTGTAAAACGATTTTGGGCGTTAAATTAAGTACAAGTCTACGGGGAATTAGGGAGGTATCCGTTATTTATCATTAGGTACACACATATAATAAAGTATTTGTTTAAATTACTGAATACGGATTACATTATATTAAAATGCATTTACGAAAATGCCCGTGACAAATGTGAAAATGGCACAAATAACTGGCCATGTAAAATTAAAAAACTGCTTGCGGTATTTTGTTTTGCCGAAATATGGAATTTTCCCGATAGTTTATTGTTGAAACAGTTCATACCTGTATTTAAACAAGGTCTTATCGATTGTTATTTACAAGAATGGCGTGCAGATGTATCTAGTAATGGTGTGCTCAGTCATCTATATTCATATGTAAAAGATCAGTTCTGTTATGAATTATATTTAGATAAGATTAATTGTAAATCATTTAGAAGCGCTCTTACACGCCTTCGAGTGTCCTCCCACAGACTTAGAATTGAGTCCGGAAGGTATGGTCGAGGCCGTGTAGAACGCCACGAAAGAACTTGTCAATTCTGTGATGCTAACGAACTCGAAGACGAATATCATTTTGTTTTAAAATGCAGTGCTTATGAAAATCTACGTAGTCAATATATTAAGCGATATTTTTACATTAGGCCTAGTATGGCCACATTTATAGAACTACTACAATCTAAAAGTCATAAAGTACTTACAAACTTATGTTATTATTTAAAAAAAGGCAAACATCAAACGAAATGATTACTTCAGAAATCTTCAATAGTATTATGATGCAGTTTAGATGATATATACCTTGATGTTCTTTCAGTATATTATTATATAAATAATTTATCAAACAAATTCGTTTAAAAGCGAAGTTATAGTTTGTTCTCCGCTTAAATTTATTACTCTTCATTATTCATTTACAGAAGTAATTTAAAGAAATGAATATATAATTGATTAATGGAGTTTTGTCAGTGTATGTAATGTATCACATTGTCTGTATTAAATATCCCATTGCTCAGTATTGTATTGATTTGTTTTTTTCTTTATGTGTAATTGTTAAATATGTGACCTATAATTATACTTAAAAATGCTTGTAATAACGATGTACCCATGTGTGTGCAAGCTATGAAATAACCTCTGTTCTGTTCTGTAATAATTATTGTGAAAATAAAAACGAATAAAAGTATAAATGGATTAAAACTTATGCATACTGGAGACACAACAACATCAAGTGGAACAAGTTTCCTAGAAGTTACACACATTTTTCCCCAAATTTATTAGAAACATTTGAAACATTTACATCAGGTTAAAGTATAAATTAATCAAAGTGAACTGGTTCACTTTGCGTCATACAAATACAGCTAAAAATAATACCTAGTTAACACTCACGTATACTATGGATGAAATATTCGAAATAATTCTTAACCTTAAGATTGATTCATTCCAAATTCATAATCTTCATTTTAACTATATTCATCGGCTTAAACATATTCGTTTAACTAATAAGCTGAATTTACAAAGGCAATAACTTACTGTATTTTGCATAATTAGCTCAAATATCTTAAACTGCTGTTTTTTGACAGCAAGTTGAAGAGGATTCAGTCGATCTTTGTTTGTCATCATCAACAATTTCTGTATATTGTTTCTTGCACTTCTCTTCTCAGTTGTGTTCAACTCATCAGTTCGAAGAAAACTGCAATCAATTACATAGCTAACCATTTTAAGGACTTTTGTCAGTTCGTTTGGATATAAGTAGGCATACTCGACCAGAGAATGAATAATATTGTCACCGTTGTCGTTTGTAACAATTAAGTTGAAATGGTAATTAAGAAGGACACAGTTAAAAATGTCCTCATTGAAATTCAGTGCAGCTACTCCAAGTGGAGTCCCAGCCATCATCACAGTGTCTTGAAATAAAGGACCTCTTGCACATATGTTTTTTAGGTTTTCTTCTGGAATTCTCGCGTTTCCAGCTTTTTTTATAGCTTTAAACATTTTTTTTAAAATATCCATTCTTCCGTTAATAATTGCATGGTGCAGTGGAGTGATCCCTCGATAATTGTCACTTTCGTTTGAAAAAACAATTAATTCCGGGCACATTTTTACAAGAATTTTTTTTATAATGTAATTTAATATTGTTTCCTGATAGCTGCCCTTTTCTACATTTAATATAATTGACATTGCTCGAAGAAGCAAAGTGTCACCATTTATTCGACTATCCTCTTTTTTTATTAATAATGATTTATATTTACCTCTGTGTTTGTTAGTAATACTTCCTTGAAGGATGTCATTTTCGATTAATTTGTGACATTTTTGACGGATGTTTGTATTGTCAGTGAAAAACTTTATAAAATCTTGTTTAACGGAATCAATACCATTTTCACTTTGTTCATCACTTTCAATACATTCAAGTCCCGCATACAATCCCATAATGTCGTCCGTCAGATTATTAGTTTCCATTCTTATTTTGTTGTGAAAATATCAAATACATGTATCAATTGAAGAACAATTACACAATACTGGAAAGAATGTTAAATAAAACTTTAGACGCTTGCCTTAATATCCATTGCGTATTGCTCAGTACCGCTTAATTAAAATCATTATATCAATTCACTAGCATATTCTTGTTACCAAATGCCAGAACTCGTCACAAATTAAGGAGTCTTATAGATAAAAATGCCTTTATGTATAATCAGTACAAAAACTTCTTAAACATAGTTAAGTGTCTGGATAGTGATAAAATTGTTTATCTTATTTTGATATACTTATTGCTAATAATTATGTTAGCAAAATCTATCAATTAATATATTAAGATGAGAACTAAATAAATTATTTTGTTTAATGTGAAAAGAAGGTCACTTATATTAATTAACAATTACTTTGCAAAACTAAATCGGAAAATTCGAAAGGAATCGGTTTGATATTTAAACGGAATTACTAGGCATAATTGACTAAATATCACGTGTTACTAGTTGTGACCGTGTAATAATAAGACATTTAACTCTAAAGATTTTTGTATAAAAGTGTAACTTTTATACACTTCCAAAATAATATATCAAACATATCTTTCCGTCAACTATGGCGGCAAGGCCGAATGGTTAACGCATCGGACTAGTAATTAAAGGAGTGATAGACTTGTGGGTTAAAATCCGTATTTTCCTTCAGCAAAACCTTCATCTTCATTGCTCAGTTCTAGGTTATTCAGAAACAGATTCGAAAGTGTGTATTTACATGATATAAACTTATAGCTTACTACAATAACGGACTAAATTAAAAAAAAACTGTAAGAACTAACTGTACATTACCTTGACAATTTAACAATGTGATAATAACAAAGAGCTCACTGAGATAAGCTGTGTTTATAATACTCCAAACATCCAATTCCTGCAAAGTGTTCATTCTAATGTCAAAACTCAAAGCTATTGGCCTCCAGAAAGTAACATGAAAAGTAAGCAGTAAATAATAGTCTAGTTATGTTAAATATATAGATCCGTGGCAGAGTGGTAACGTTTGTTTACTTCAAAACACTTGCCCATACCGCTTTGGTTCGAATCCCCACATGGACTTGGTATTCTTTCATGTGAGGAAGTTATCAAGCTAGCTTACGGAAGGTCGGTTGTTCTACTCAAGTGCACGTTCGTGCCTTAAATAATGCATGGAAGGACACCAGAGGTTTTCTTCCACCAGTAAAGCTAGAACGTCACCATATGACGTACACTGTGTCGGTTTGACGTAATACCCAACCAATCATTATAACTGTAATAATAATTAAAGAAGAATGTCAATTAAAAGCCTCAGTATATCTTTTTTCTTCTTCGCAATATCTACCGCGTTACTAACACAGGAACAAATATAAATAAGTGCGCCTTGGGTGGTGAATCAATATTCGTTAATGAGTAGACCCTAAATATTTTAAACCGATTTATTGGTCATCGTATATATGACATGATCGTATAATTAATCAATTGTTTCATAGTTTGGAGACCTTTTTGTTGAAAATGTGTAGGGTTAAATCGTATACATATACATGCACAGTGCGATAACTGGAGTGCGGGTATTAGTTGTTTGGCTCATTTTTGCTGGGGTTTACATATTGTGACGGCAGTGAAAGTGAAATCGACAGAAATGTCATATTTAGATGCTCGTTCTTTTTGCCGGGGTTTCATATTGCAACAACAGGGAACGTGTTTTTATGTTTGACTATGATACAAAAAAGAAAGAACACCAAAACACTCGGTAATCTGATTAATACTCGGGTGGCTACGCCCCCTCGTACAAATCAGATAACCTCGTGTTTCGGTGCTCTTTCTATTACTTATAATTATAAGTGCCACAAATAACTACAAATATCAAAATATCAAAGCAGTTAATTTTTTCCCGGTATGTTTGATAGGTTCGTGGATTCCGTGCGTTTCGGATGACAGGTAGCGATTTCGTCCTGTACAATTACGTGAAACTAGAAAAAACCCGGATGTAAGAATTCTGTAGTACAATAAAAGAAAGTATATACCATTGGAAGAAAAGCGACAGGCTTATTTTCTGTGCAAAAATAATAAGATGTGAACATTTTAAAGTGCAATATTTTGGATTTTGAAATACTTATAAGAGGAATTATTTTTGTTACCTTCTGAAGGCAAAGGAAATAACAATTACATGACGGCCTTTTTTCAAACTGGCAAAGTCAAATGTATTTGACATTGCAGAATGTATCAGCACATAGTGTCGAAACTCATTTGTGTTGATTACAAGATATTACTCGAAGTCAAAGGAATAAAGGTGCTTCGAGTTTGTGTTTTTATATATTCAAACGCTTAAGAAAATGCAACACAATGAAAACAACAATAGCACTTAAATTGCTATATCAATAACTTTTCTGATTACTGAAAGACATCCAACATGAAAAAGCGACTGAAATAATTAAATTGAATTTTTTTTTAATATTCTGATTGTACTAAATAATATATTATTGAGGAAAAGTGAAGTGTAAAAGAAAAGTTTACAAAACATTTTGAACAAGCTCAATTAAAGTCTTATGTAATCTGGAAAAAATATTTGTTTTGCTTTTGACGTAGACAACAATACAGATATGTAAACACATACTATTTAATAGCTTACATGTTAATTATCATTTTACATTATGTTCAATAAACTTGCTAACAAACCATTCAACAATAATAATGTTATATTTGCATATCTCTAGCAATCTGAAACAATAACAAACCATTGATTACACAAACACACAAAGCACATAATAAACCGCCTCCGTGGTCGAGTGGTTAGAGTCGATGACTTCTAATCCAGTTACCTCTCTGGCGTGGGTTCGATCCCCGGGAGATGCTTTGGTAGTTTAGCGCGGAGGAAGGTAGTCAAGTACTGGTGTAACTCTCCAGGAACGATGGTTAGGAAACTACCCGCCTATATGACTGAAATACTGTTGGAAAAAGGCGTAAAATGACACAAACAAACAAAAACAAAAAAACAAACAACTTCATCAAGGTAATCGTTCCTTTAAGGTGTGTAATGTTTTATCACTATATATTTATAATAAGTGAATTAAAATTAATGTAGATACTATGAACAGGTGAACAAAATATATACAAATCATTTATAATAAAAACCTAACATACCTAAAAGAAAATACTGTTTTCCCTTCTACAATTTTCGTAATACTCATAAACACTAATATTCTATATTATACACAATATATGACGTACTTTTCTTAGGAGTTTTGACATTATGGAGGGGTTTCTGGGTTGAACTAAGTGAATGGACTTGGTATCGAGCATTCTTGGGGTTTACGTCCCCCTAACATTGTAAACGTTATATGGCGACTTTACAAATTGACAAGTGGAGGAATACCTCAGGTGTCCCATTCATGCATTATTCCCTTGGTGTTACCACAATAAAATAAAAACAAGAGGGCCATGATGGCCCTGAAGTCGCTCACCTGTATATAGGCCCCTGAAGCGGGGCCAGTTTAAACCCCAGGGCTTTTATTTGAACAAACTTGGTAGACACCCATTAAAAGATGTTTCATGCTAAACATCTAAGGTCTAGCTGGTCAAGTTATTTCTTTACACATTTAGTTAAAAACAGTGACACACCTGGGGCGGGGCCAATTTTGACCCCAGGGATTTTATTTGAACAATCTTTGTAGACACTTACCAGAAAATGTTTCCTGCTTAATATCTAAACTCTAGCTATTCAGGTTTTTTCAAAGAATTTTTAAGTTTTTGCTATACACATATAAGGAAAATCAATTTACCCCGGGGCGGGCCCAATTTTGACCCCAGGGCTTTTATTTGAACAAACTTTGTAGGCACTTACTAGAAGATGCTTCATGCTTAATATCTAAACTCTAGCTATTTGAGTTTCTTCAAAGATTTTTTAAGTTTTTGTTATACACAAATAAGGAAAATGAATGTCCCCTGGGGCGGGGCAATTTTGACCCCAGGGCTTTTTTTTTAACAAACTTGGTAGAGACTCACTAGAAGATGTTTCATGCTTAGTATCTAAACTCTAGCTATTTGTTTTTTTTTCAAAAAGATTTTTTAAGTTTTTGCTATACACATATAAGAGAAATCAATGACCCCCGGGGTGGGGCCAATTTTGACCCCAGGGCTTTTATTTGAACAAACTTGGTAGACACCCATCAGAAAATGTTTCATGCTAAATATCTAAGCTCTAGCTCTATGGGTTCTTGAAAAGAAGATTTTATTAAGTTTTTACTATATGCATATAGGAAAAATCAATGACCCCCTAGGGCGGGGCCAATTTTGACACCAGGGCTTTTATTTGAACAAACTTGATAGACACTTATTAGAAGATGTTTCATGCTAAATATCTTAGCTCTAGCTCTTTGGGTTCTTTAAAAGAAGATTTTATAAGTTTTTACTATATGCATATAGGGAAAATCAATGACCCCCTGGGGCGGGGCCAATTTTGACCCTAGGGCTTTTATTTGAACAAACTTGGTAGACACCCATTAGAAGATGTTCCATGCTAAATATCTTAGCTCTAGCTCTTTGGGTTCTTTAAAAGAAGATTTTATAAGTTTTTACTATATGCATATAGGGAAAATCAATGACCCCCTGGGGCGGGGCCAATTTTGACCCCAGGGCTTTTATTTGAACAAACTTGATAGACACTCACTAGAAGATGTTTCATGCCAAATATCTAAGCTCTACCTCTTTTGGGTTTTTTAAAAGAAGATATTTTAAGTTTTTTCTATCGGTTGCCATGGCAACCAGAGTTCTGCATGGAATTAAATTCTTTGAACAATTTTTAAAGGTGACCACCAATGGAACATTCCTGTGAAGTTTGGATGAAATTGGCTCAGCGGTTTATGAGGAGATGTCATTTAAAGAAAAAGTTTACGGACGACGGACGGACGACGGACGGACGGACGCCGGACGAAAAGCGATCACAAAAGCTCACCCTGTCACTTTGTGACAGGTGAGCTAACAAATACATGGCATAGTGTATTGGAAAGGTTGAAATAGTGCCATGAGTGATATGCGGTGTATGGCTTAACAGAATACTTAATAAACTATTCCTGCCATTATATGTATAAACCGAACGTGAGCAATGTCCGGTATGGTTGTG